AGATGGGTAAAAAATGACAGAAAAGGAAAATAGTTGTTGAAGAAGCTCTAGAAAGACAAACCTATTAATGAACAGAAGAGCTGTGAATTGGTCCATTCTGGAATATAGTTTGGAACTAAATACAATACAGCAATACCCCTAGTAGGCACACAGAAAAGAATAAACGTGAGTTATGATTATTTTTGTTATTGCAGTAGATCTTCTAAAAGATGGCTCTTTGTAACTCCACATGTTGGAACATTAATTTGAAATAAACCTCATTTGGAGAACTAGCAGGAACTCTTCCTTTGTTTCACTCAGTGGTCTTTGTAGGATTCTTCCATATTCATTCTGATCCTAGTTAGTATAGAGTGTTTCCCAGGCTTTTTTCAATCTGTGATATACTTGTCACCTCCCTGAGATATAGCCAGTGAATGATATGGGAGTCTGTGTTTCTTTTAAAACCTACTTGTCAAACTTGCTGTCAGTCCATGCCCCTTACTCCTAATCAGGCTATATATCTATAGATACATACATATCATTTCTCTTCCTCCCATGTAATAGAAACAGCAATAGAAGTGATAGTAGCTAACATTTATGTAGCACTTTAAAATTTACAAAGTATTTTTTGCATATATTATCTCATTTGAACTATATCACAGCCTTATGAGATAGGCACTATATGCATAATTTTATTTTAAAGATGAAGAAACTGAAGAGGTTACATGAGTTATCCATGGCACACAGTTAGTGAGCATCAAAGGCAAGATTTGAACCTGAGTGCTTTCTGGTGTACTGTGGTGTAACTTCCACCCTCTTCTTCCTCCTTTCTCCATCACTATATTCCTCCTTTTATACTCCTTTCTATCCTCTTAAAACCCTCAGAACAGAACCAGTCTTCTCCATGTTTCCTATTTTTCTTCCTGAATACCTTTGAAGACACTAAAGTTCTGAAGGAAGTACACTTTTTTCTTCTCCCTTTATTAAAATGTTAGTACTACATCATTACTAAATCCTTCTGATGGTTTAAATAAATTTACTTTTTTCAATTTCTTTGAACTCTTGTGTTTGCACTTTAGAGTTCCTACTCAGCTCCAGCCTTTTGATTAGGAATGCTTGAAAGTATTTTATTCCATTAAAGGTCACTTTCTTTTTTCTCTTGTAGGATTGTCATCAACTTTGTAGGATAAGTTATTCTTGCTTGTAAACCTTTACCTTTTGCCTTTTGGAATATTGTTCCAAAATCATCTCTTATTTATAGTAGAAGCTCTCTCCTGAGTCCTCTATTTTTATAACTTCTACCTCTATATATACTACTTCATTTGATCTCATCAGCTCCCATGGATTAAGTTATCATCTTTATGCAGATGACTCTCAGAGCTACTTGTCTAGGTGTAACCTCTTTCTTTACTGCCATTCTTTTTTAAAAAAATTAATTAATTTATTTTTAGTTTTCATCATACACTTTTATAAGGTTTTGAGTTCCAAAGTTTTTTCCCCTCCCTCCCAGCCACCTCCCCAAGACACCATGCAATCTGATGTAGGCTATACACTGTCTGCCATTCTTGCATCTCCAACTCCTTAATAAACATCTCAAACTGGATGTCTCATAGACATCTTAAGCTCTCCATATCCAAAATTAAACTCATTATCTTTCCCTCAAGCCCTCACCTCTTCCTAACTTCCCTGTTACTTTTGATGGAACCATCATCTCCTCAATCACTCAGGCTTGCAGTTTTATTCTCAACACCTCACTTTCTCTTACCTCCTATAGCCATTCAGTGGTCAAGTCCTCTTGTTCTATCTTTGTAACAGCTCTCATACATGTCTCCTTCTCCTCTAACACTGCTCTCAGTTTAGTGCAGACCTTTACCACCTCATACCTGGACTGTTGAAATAGCCTACTGGTTATAGTCCCTGCCTCAAGTCTCTCTCCACTCTAATCTGTTCTCCAGTCAGCTGTCAAATTGATCTTCTCAAACACCTATCTGATCAGTAGTTCTCTGATGTCTCCAGGATTAAATATAAAATCCTCTGGCTTTTAAAGCCCTTCATAACTGGCTTCTTCCTACCTTTCCAGTCTTTTTATACCTTACTCCCTTCTACATACTCTGTAATCCAATGATACTGGCCTCCTTGCTGTTGTTCCTCATACCAGAATCTTATCTCCTGGCTATGTGTACTTTCACTGGCTGCCCCCATGCCTAGAATGTTCTCCTCCTCATCTGTCTTCTTGCTATCCTGGCTTTCTTCAGCTGTCAGCTAAAGTCCCACCTTCTGAAAGAAGCCTTTCCTAGTCCTCCTTAATGTTATTGCATTCTCTTTGAGATTCTCTCAGCCTTCACCCAGTACTTATTTGTACATAGTTGCTTGCATGTTGTTTCCTCCATTAGACTATGAATTACTTGAGAGCAAGGATTGTTTTTTGCCTTTCTTGGTGTAACCAGTGCTTAGCACGGTGCCTGGCGTACATAATAAGTGCTTTAAAAATGCTATTTGACTGACTGACGTAATGATTAGAAGTTGTCAGGTCTTGTGTGATCTTGTCTGTGGATCCTTGGTACTTGAGCTGCTTCTTTCTGGATTTTTGCAGTATTCTTTCTTTGATGGAGAACTCTGGGTTTTGACTATGACATTCCTGACTTTTCCTTTTGAACTTCCTTTTGGGAGGTGATCAGTGGATTCATTTTATCTTTACTCTGCCCTCTGGTTTTAATAGAGCTGGACAGTTTTTATTTATAATTTGTTGTAATATATTCAGTTTCCAAACTTTTTGATTTTGTCGTGATTTTCAGGGATTCCAGTAATTCTTAAATTATCTCTCCTTGACCTATTTTCCAGGTCAATTGTTGTTTAAAAAAAACCCAAATACCTCACATTTTCTTCCATGCTTTTATTTTTTTCTAATTTTTTCCCATGAGTTTCAGTTATAATCCCCATGCATGTGGTTTACAAATCTATATATCTAGCCCTGGTTTGTCTCCTGAGCTCCAGTCCCTGCACCATCCACTGCCTATTTGACATTCCAAATTGAATGTTTCTTATGCATTTCAACCTCACCATATTTAAAACACAACTCACTATTTTCCCTCCCAAATCCATCTTGCTACTGAACTTCCCTTTTTAAGGTCACCACTATCCTTCCATTCACCTAGGTTCACAACCTTGATTGCTCATTCTCATTTACCTCACATAGTCAATCATTTAACCAGATCTTGTCATTTCAGTCTCCATAACAGCTCTCATATATGTCTCCTTATCTCACATAGACACAATCATAGTTCAGGCCCTAACCTTTTGTCTGTACTATTGCATTAGCCTCCAAATTGGTCTTCCTGCCTCAGATCTCCCTTCTCCAGTACATCTTCCATCTAGCTGCCAAAATGATGTTACTCAAATACAGGACCAAATCTAAACTTCTCTATTTGGCATTTAATACTTTACAACCTGGTCCCTTCCTTTCTTTCCAACTTTTTTACACTTTACTTCCCTCCATGTACTCCGTGGACCAGACGTACTTACCTCCTTCTCATTCTTCACGTGATGCTCTCTCTCCTTTTTTCATGCCTTCACACTTGCTGTCCCCTATGCCTTTGAACTCTTTTTCACTTCACTTCTCACTTTTAGAACCTTTGCTTTCTTCTAAGACTAAGATCAAGTGCCACCTTCTTCAATAGACCTGTCCTGGTTCCATAGCTACTAGTGTCTTCACCTTGACAGTTACCTTGTATCTACTTTGTATATATAGGATATACCTATATTTTTATATTTTTGTACATTAGAACATAAGCTCCTTGAGGGTAGGGATTGTTTTTGCTTTTTATTTGAATGTCTAGTGTTTCTCCCAGTGCCTCACACATACATAATAGATTCTTTGTAAATACCAGTTGAGTGATTGAATGCTTACAAAGGACTGCATAACACTGCTAGATCTATCTATTTTTTTTTGGAGAGAGCTGGTCATGTCACTTCTCAGCCCCATTCTTCAGCGGCTCCCAGTGGCCTATTGAATAAAGTTCAAAGTGCCTACCCTGGCATTTAAGACCCTTCGCAGTTTGGTACCACCCTTTTTAGTCTTCTGCTATTTTCCTCTCTGTATTTCTTTATACTCCCTCATGAATGCCTTGCATACACTTCACTTCTTCTCTTGCTCTTCCCTCCATCTGCAGTGCCATACTGGCTGTTGAATTCCTGCCCGTCCTATCTCCTCTAGTAAACTTTGTCTTATTCTTAGTTAGTAATGACCTTTTTAGGTTTGGACTTTCTATAGTGGTTTGTATTATTGTGTAGTCAGTGGGAAATAAGAATTGAAGTCATAAGACCTGAGTTTGAATTTAGACTTTTCTCCTTTATAGCCTTTAATTGATTTTCTCTGAGTCTATTTTCTTATCTATGAAATTAGGATATTTGCATTACTTCACAGGTCATTGAGAAGAAGGCACTTTGTAAACTATAAAGTAGAATATTAATGCAAAATATATGCTGATGCATTTATTATGTATTATAGTATATTTGTATATATCATCCTCCTACTGGACTATAAGTTCCATGTGAGCAGGGAAATAGTTTTAATTCAATTTTGCAGTTTCCCCAGTACCAGCATGATATGGTATAGTAGGTACCTAATAAATATGTGTTAAGTTAAATGATGTCATTTGATCTTCGTATCAACTCTGTGAGGTAGTCAGTGCCAGGTATCAGCTCTGTTTTACAGATGAAGAAAGTAAAAGTAATGCTTATTTATAGCACATCTCTGACTTGCCCAACGTCATCTGGCTACTAAGTGGCAGGGCCAGAATATGAATCTTGGTTCCCTGACTTCAAGTACAGAATTCTTATCATTATATCATGTTGTCTGTATCACTGTAGTGCCTTTCACACCTGCTGCCTGCCTGATTTTGGCCTAGTGTGTTGAAAAACTAGAATTGAAGATTACTCTTCAACAAAATGTCTCAGGGTTTGCCATTCTCCTTTCTTAGTTTACTGAGTCTCTTCTATTTGTTTGTTTTGCCTTTTTCCAGGTTAAAAAACAGAAACTCCTTCTTGAATTGGACCAATATGCCTCAGATGTGGCTGAACTCATACGGACCCCAATGGAAATGCGTTACATCCCCCTCAAAGTAGCACTGTTGTAAGTACTTCCCAGTAGAACAAGGCTTTAACCCAGCAAACAAGAAGAAACAAATGTGATTAGAGTTTCCTATGTTTGTTAGATATTTGGAAATGCAAACATCTTAGTCATCAAATATTTTCTGTAGTCCTTTTGCATGACTGCTAGGGATAGAGACAGAGCTATTTATTCTCTCTCCCTCTCTATTAAAAAATAGATATTTTCTAAATGACTTTTTTAGTTTCGATGATCGATGATCTAAATCCTTTCTTCTGTGACTAGCATTTCTGTTGGAATAATACCTAATTTTTTATATGGCTCCTTATTTCATATCTCTTAACATAACCCATATTTATTACTTAATACAGCCCAGGATGTTTTCTCTCCCGTTATACAGAATGGAAAACTGATAATGGTGATATGATAGCTTCTGATACATTCTTTGACTTGGAAAATATATGGTACTTTTTGAAATTATGATGCTGCTACAGAGTAGTATTGTATGACTTCCTCACTAAAAAGCTACTTAATCCCACATTATATTTCCTGCCAGTGGCTTTGATTCCCTTATGAGGATAGCCTTTATTTCTGAGAGTTGCCAATGTGAATTGATACAAAAGTTGTGCATATAAACAGAGCTCATTCTTCTTACTCCTGGAATGGGCCCAAATCTTTTCAGATTGAATTGCCAAAAAAAAAAAAAAGTGCTGTCACTATTTAGTCACAAGTCAAACTCATTTGTTTTATAATTTGCTTTGTTAAATGTATTTACATACCTTCAGATTCCCCTCTTTTTTCAAGGTTGTCTGGAGTGTTTTTTTTTCCCCTCCGCCATCTCCTTCAGTGGAAGTTAAGAGGATTCTTTGAAGTTGTGCAGCATTTGAGCTTGTGTACCATGTATACGGAATGTATCTTTGATGACCTTCTCAGCAAGCCTTGCTTTATGCTGAGAAGAATAAATCTGAGATACTTATAACAGTTCAGAAGACATCATCAGTGCCTGGGAACTTGATAACATACAACATTCCCCTCCCTGGTTTTTCTGTAAAGGCCTTTTCTGGACTATGAGTGTCTGAGGGATCTAATGAAGCATCATTTTCTTTGCCTGGGATGGAACATTTCTGAGCTAGTTGCACTCATTGAATACATTTTGAGTCGATGTGGTGAAAAGTCAAGGCTATGGATAGTGCTTGCAGTTGGCCGTAATTATTATTCTGAGTGTGTGTTTATGTGTTCTTTCCCAGCTATCTTTTAAATCCCTACACAGTGTTATCTTGTGTTGCTAAGTCCACTTGTGCCATAAACAACACCATCATTGCTTTCTTCATTTTGGCTACAGTAAAAGGTAAGGTACCAAGAATATAGATTTCAACTGCTGTACAAATGTCAGTTATCCTGATTATTATAATTATATAAGAGATTTCTTAATGTCTTGAACATGCAAATTGATGCATTTTGATAAATAAACTGCATAATATGAAGGCTTTAACAGTGAAATTAGGTAAAAACAGCTGGCCACAAACACACACCAATAATATTTGGAGGGTTCCAGTTAACTAACTTCTCATAGGTATTATTTTGTACAGTCTCTTACATTAATGATGGGAAAGTTGGTGAACAAATATTGTTCCTTTTCTTTGTTCCAGTTCATTCTCTACTGGTTAGTTTTAATACTTAAAGTTATCTGAGGCAAACAATGAGCTTCTGTATGTTATGGTAAAAGCTCATCTTTCGAAATGCATTGTTTCCTTTGAGTGGTGTTTTGACATAAAGAGTTCTGTGATATTAGGGCATATGTGTTGCCATATGTATAGCTGGCTGAAATTTTTGTTGTTCTTGACTTATGTCAGGCAGGCATTTGATATTCTTTGTAATAGTCCATTTATCCTACATTCTAATAGAAATGAATGATTATTGGCATTTGGAAATGTTATCTCAAAAATGGCTGTGCCCAAAGACAGGCTATGTGTACAAGAGTCATCTTGTGGTTTACGTTTTCACTGGGTCTAATGGAAAAAAGTCAAGGCATTTTGCTGTTCTACAACCTTTTCTTGACCCTTTAAAGTCAATGAGACTATTTTCCTTGACAGAGTTGTTCTAAGTGGAATGGCTGTACTGAGTCAGCAGCTAAGCATGGAAGAGCCCTGAGAGTTTTTGCTCTGTGACCAGGTTGCTTACAGTGCAAACCGAATCTTTGCTACTGAATATTCAATACTTGCTGTTGCGCTTTCTCTTTCATCCTGTCTTCCCTGCAGTAATCAGCTATCTAAAAATAGGCTTGTGTAGCCCCTACACAGAGTTTTGTAAGTAACCCCATATAACTCTCAAATCTACAAAAATAACTAAGTATGAAGAATTCAGTATCCTTAAATTGTTCACATCTCTCAATTCTCAGACAGACTTCATTAGTATGTATTTTGAAATTTTTATTCCCTCGTATTCATTATGTACTTAGCATCTTATGTTCACTGTATAGTAGTAATATATGTATAACTATTGCCTTTTTTTCACTGTAGTATGCCAGCATGTGCCTGTGCGGTTTTCTTAGCCATTCCAGTACTGTGATGCATTTTTTAGGAGGGATGTGATGTGTGTGAGCAAAGATAATGAGTTCAGTTTTGGGCATGTTGAGTTTAAGATATCTATAGGACATCCATCTGAGATGTCTAAAAGGCGGTTGGAGATGCAAGACTAGAGGTCAGCAGAAAGTTTAGGGCTGGATAAGTAGATTTGAGAATTATCAGTATAGAGATGGTAATTGAATCCGTAGGAGCTAATGAGATCATAAAGTCAAATACTATGGAGATAGAAGAGGAAAGCATCCAGGATAGAGCCCTGTGAGACATTCACAGGTATTGGGAGTGACATCAATGAAGATCTTACAGAGGTCAAATAGGTAGGAAGAGAAGCAGGAGAGATAGTGTCCCAAAAACCTAGAGAGTATCAGGGAGGAGAGAGTGATGGACAGTGTCAAAGGCTGCAGAGATGATAAAAAGGATAAAAATTCAGAAAACGCATTGGATTTGCCAACTAAATGATCATTGGCAACTTTGGAAAGAGCAGTTTTAGTTGCATGATGAGGTAGGAAGCCAGAATGTAGAAAGGTAAGAAAAGAGTGAAAGGAGAGCACCTATTGCAGCCACCCTTCTTAGGTAGTTTAGCCACAAAAGGCGGGAGAGATTTGGGAAGATAGTGGGGATGGATCAAATGAGGGTTTTTTGAAGATGTGAGTGTCTGTAGGCAATAGGGAAGTAGCCGGTAGACAGGGAAAGATTAAAGATAATTAAGAAAGTGGAGATGATTTAGCAGGCAATCTGTTAAAGAAGATGAGATATGATGGGATCACTTGTGCATGTAGGGAGTTAGCCTTGTCAAGGAGAAGGGACACCTTTTTATGTGATGCAGGTTTGAAGGAGGAGATAGTGGGTAGAAGGCGTCTCGGTGATATCAGATCAGAAGAACTGAAAAAGAGGGAATGGGAAGCAAATGCTTCCATTTTTTTTAACAAAGTATGAGACAAAGTTCTTAGCCGAGAGGGTATGGGGAGAGGCAGCTATGGGGGGTTTGAGGAGGGATAGAAAGATTTGAAAGACCCACTGTGGTGAGTGGGATGATGAGCTAATTAGAGAAGTGTAAAATAATTGCTTAGCAGCAGTGAGAGCCCAGTTGAGGTTATATGACATAAATTTGTGGTGATGTCAGTCAGGACACTTCCATGATTTCCTCCACCTTTGTTCAGTAGCACGTGTGTAGGGGCAAAGGCAAGGGATGGCTGTAGTGATCCAAGGCTGAGGCTTAACAGGGCACAATCAGCAGTGTAATAAGGAGGCAAGAGAAGAGCATAGTGTAGAGTTAAACTGGTTCACCAAGGGATTAAGATGGGTAGAAGAGGTGAGTGTGGCTAGTGCAGGAGTATTGACATGGGAGAGAACTGAAAGGTCAAGAGTCGATGGTATTGTAAGGCATGTGGAAAGCCAATAGATTGTGATCAGATAAGGGAATTTCAAAGTTTATGAACATGGAAGCAGTACATTATGGTAGTACATGTATCAAGGGTATGGTCATCTTCATGTAGGGGTTGAGGTAAGGTAGAATAGTAGGTTAGTAAGGGAAATGATTAAGTTTGGGAACCAGGAAATCAGGCTTTTTGTTGAGAAATCAATGTGTTAAAGTCTTCTACTATGAGAGTAGGAGTTAGGGTAGAGAGAAGATTGTGAGCCAGGTACTGAAATCATTGAAAAATGAAGGAGAGTATCCAAGAGGTTAGGAGATAACAACTATCAGCATCTTCATCGGGTGATAAATAGATTGAATGAACTTCAAAGGAGGGGAAATTACTGAGTGATGGTGGTAGAGGGAGAGTCTGGAGCAAGGATTATTCTGACTCCTCCACTATGACCAGTGATTCAGGGGGTGTAAGTGAAAGTGCAACCAGTTCTTGAAGGGGAGGCCAAGGAAACTATGTCATCAGGAGGGAATCAGATCTCAGTGAGAGTCACACAGTGGAAGGAATGGGAAAAGAAAATATTTAAGATGAAAGTAAGCTTGTTGCTTATGGAACAGGTATTCCAGAAGACACAGTAGAAGGGATGGGTAGTTTTTAGTTGAGACTTTGAGGTTTGTAGCAGGTGGGGAAGGACTAGGTACATTAAAGAGAGTCTGACCAGAAAAGGGAGGAAATGATCAAGAGTGCAGACTACTAAAATAGACAAAAGTAGATTGGGATCATGTAGAGTAGTTAGCCTTTGAAAAGATTTGTCTGGTTTTTGCTTTATAAATAATGCTACCATGTATATCTTTTTAGATTTTATCTGGGTTGTTTTCCTGGATATACTTATACAAGTGGAATTACTAGACCCAACGAAGGCTACACACACCTTTGTAGTTCTTGTTCTATGTTTCCATGTTATTCTCTGGAAAGAATGGACCAGTGATTAACTCTATCCCAATTCCCTGCAAGTATGTACGTACTCTTAGCCCTGCCAATATAAGTTTGTAGTATTTTCATTTATTTTTGTTTGGTCAGTATGTAATGATATATTAAAAGTGTTTTGATTTTCATTTCTTTTATTACTATTGAAGATTTGCATTTTTTCCATGTTACTATCCTTTCCCTCCTATGTACATGTGGAATAGATCATATAGTTCACTCACTTCCTGAAACATGAATCACTTATACAACATTCCTGAAAAACAGTCTCTTGACCTTTTCTTGAATGCCCACAAAAACAGGCGACTCAGCCCATTCTGTTGTTGGATATTTGTAGTTATTATGTTGAGCTAAAGTCTACCACATGTTAATTCTACCTATTCTGTCATCTGCCATCTGAGGCCAAGCTGAACAAGTTTAATTTCTTTCATGTGACAGCCCTTCATCTAATTAAAAGATGGTGATTATATCTCCCCTAAACCTAAGCTTCTTTAGGTTAAACATTCATTTCTTTCATATAGTCCTTTTGTGGTATGGTTTTTAAGTCTCATCATCATCCTGGCTGATATAAATTCTAGGTCGTCAAATATTTCTCTTAAGGTGTTTTCAGAACTGAATTCCAGTTGTTGCAAGATGTAATTCAAGACATATACAAAATTATCACTTCCCTTGTTCTGGACACTGGATTTGACCGTTTGGCTGCATAAAAGTGGATAAACATTACCTCCCCCCCCCAGTAATTGTCCAGTTTAATAGTTTATTTTTAAAAATTCAATGTTATATTCATGAAGATCTGCACTCTCTCCCTCTCATCTCCACCCCCACTGAGAAAGCAAGAAAAACAAAACCTGTTGCAAGTATTTATAGTCAAGCAAAAAGAATTCACACATTGGCCATGTCAAAAAAAATGAAGTCTCAGTCTGTACTGAGCCCATCACTTCTGTCATGAGGTAGGCATGTTACGTCATGAGTCCTTTGTAATTGTGGTTGGTCATTGTGTTGATCAGAATTCCAAAGACTTTCAGAGTTGTCTCAAAATATTATTATACTTGTATAGATTGTTCTCCTGGTTCTACTCACTTTATTTTGCAATCGTTTATATGTTTTCATTTCATTATCTTCCTGAATACACTTAAGTCCCCCAGCCTTCATGCTCCTTCTGACTTAGTCACCGAGCATTTATTAAGCACTTTGTGCCAGGCAGTATGCTAAGTGCTGTGGATGCACAGAAAGGCAAAAGATAATCACTGTTCGTGGAGCTCACAGTCTAGGAGGGGAAACAGCATGCAAGCAGCTATATACAAACAAGCTATATAAAGGACTAAATTGGAGATAATCTCAGAGGGAAGGTACATTAAGATTAAGGAAGACTGGGAAAGGCCTCTGATTTCTTTCAAAACTCCTCCACCCTTTCT